GGGGGGGGGGAAGAGGGGCACTGAAGATGTGGAGCTGCTGCCCCAGCTGAGCGGGATGAGCTGCTGATCGGATGTCTGCTTCAGAGAACGAGGTCCTCTCCCTTCAGGAAGCAGCACCAGGATCCCGTGTCTGTCTGGTGCTTCTTAGCACTGTGTCCAGCTCCTAAGGCCCCTGGGACACCTGCCCTTCCCACACCTGGCACCTCCTCCCCCAGAAAGGTGGGCACAACACCAGCCTGTCCTAAAAGCAGCCCTACCCCTCTCGTCCCAGCTGCTTGGGCCCCCTAAGCCTCTGCACCGGGCTGGGGCTGTTCAGGGGAGACCAGAGCAGCTCAGGCTAGGAGACTCAGCGACCTGGGTCAGCTTCAACTCTGGAACCCCCCAAAGGGGTGACAGCTGCAGGGCCATGGCAGGCAGAAGGCTATCCGTCGCCTGTGGCCTGGCGGGTCCCAGGCAGACACGGCAGGGGTCCACCTGGCTCACATCTGATCTGCCCTGAATCTGGCAGAATTTAAGCCGTCCCTGGCACCAGCCAGAGCTGCAGGGACTGCACGGTGCCTCCTACTCCATGCCAGGCCAGCAGGCCTGGGCGGCTGCCGTGCCGTGCGTCTGAGGAGGGAACGGGATTTCGGGGCCCTCCACGTGGGCGTGTCAGCCTGCAGGGCCTGGGCACAGCAGGCCCGTGGGAAGCACCGTGTGGTGACCTCTGAGAGGTCCCGACAGCGGCTCTCTGCCTGTTTCTGCTGTCCCCACACCCCAGGGGCCACTCCACCATGCTCCAGGGCAGGCCCTCTCCTTGGCGGCCCTGGGTCAGGATGGCCAGGGATGAGAACAAAAGTGGGCTTGGAGCTATCACGGCTGTGTGGAGAGAGGTGCCCCGGCCCCTCCAGGCCTCTGCTCCCTTGTCTGTAACACGGGGTCTGAGGGATGGGGGGGCTGTCTGCATGCCAGTGTGGGCCACAGCGGCCGACCTTCCCGGCTGCCCCCACCTCTGCTGCTGCCCCTCCTTCAGACCACCTGGGGAGGCTCATCCAGACCCCGGCCCATGGGGGACAGAAACCAATCTATGTCGTTGGCTCTACTCATGTCCAGACTGGTACTCAGTAGCTTGGCAAGGCCCAGACTCTGGCTCCTCCTAGCACAATACATATTCTGCTCTTAACAAAGAGATGTTCCCACTCACCAATGCCTCGTGCCGGCACAGACACAAGCTGGCCGGCCATGGCCGAGCTGCGTAGGCATTTGCTCACTGAGTGGGTGAACATTTTGTTTGCTGGGCCCTGCTTGATCAAGCTGCTGTACCTTTGGAACTCTACATTTTTTAAAAGAGGGAGTAGGGCTGAGCATCAAGCAGCTTTCTGCTTCTTGTGAAAGTTCTGTCATCTGAGAAAGCAAACAAGTCCTCAACTCCCAGTGTTAGCGCCAGCTCCTCCACATCATCAGGAGGGAAGGGATGGAGGTGGGCAAGGGAGGGAAGGAGGGCAGCAGGTGGAAGGGAGTGGGGGGAGGGGAGGGGGAGGGAAGGTGTCCCGCCCCAGGAATTCCCTTGCTCTTTCCATCTGTGTGTCAGAAGGTGACACACAGGCGCTGAGGTCTGTGTGCAGTCAGTGAAGCCGCACCACGCACTCCCGGGAGCAGCCCAGGCCTGCATTTCTGGACAATGTCTCTTGCCTAAGCTCACCAGGCCCGTGTGGTTCGGACATGACCCTGCTCCAGGGATGGAGAGGCACACACCTTTCCCCCACTCTCTTCACTGTGTTCAGAGAGGCAGGGTTTCACAAACTTCCCTCGCTGATGCCTTTCACACACGACACCCGCTTCTCTCAGTATGTGCAGATGGTGTTTGGCTGTCTCGAGACACACCTTCCCGGAGACCACTCACTGCCCAGCAAGCAGCATTTGTGGAGGCCCGGGCAGCATGCTCACCCCAGCTGTGCCCCAGGGCTCCAGCGAGTCCCCTGCTGCAGCGGTCTCCCCGGCACCCAAACTGCACCCACTCTGTTATTACCTCACAGAAAATCTGTGCATCTGCCAGGGAAAAATCTTCCCATTACTCTTATAGACAGATGGATGATTCTTGAATGGTGCTTTCCCATATCAATTTAATATTTTAATTTCCTCAAAAAGTCTTACAAAATTTGACTTGGAATTATATTGTATTAATGTATCAATTGGGAAATAACTAATATCTTTGTAATATTAGTGTTTCTATTAATGGATATGGTATATCTCTTCATTGCATATTTTGTTTTTTTGAGGGTAGTACTAGGTTTGAACTCAGAGCCTCGAATGTGTTAGGCAATAGGTCTACTAATGGAGCTCTATCCTCAGCTGTTTTTCTTTTAGTTAATTCTCTTTCTGTGGCCTTAGGATACAATCTTTCTGTCTATGCCTCCCACAGGGTACACACAGGCATACATACACATACATAGTACACATAGAGTACACTGGGGCATAAAAATAGTCCACATGTAATTTTTTTGGTTGTTGTTGGTCAGGGGGACAGAACTCAGGGCTTGGGCACTGTCTCTGAGCTCCTTCGCTCAAAGATCCCACTTGAACCACAGCACCACTTCCTGTTTTCTGGTGTTCATTTCAGATAAGAGTCTCTTGGGCTTTTCTTCCCTAGCTGGCTTTGAACTTTGATCCTCAGATCTCAGCCTCCTGAGTAGCTAGGATTACAGGCATGAGCCACCAGCGCCTGGCTACGGGTACTATTTTTTTTTAAATCTATTTCTATTAATTCCATCCATTAGAGAGCAGAAATAGTGATTTAACACATTATGTTTTTGTTTATTTACCGAAATGCCTACAATTTTTTTTTGTCCACCATTCCTTCTTTCGACTCTAGCCTTCCTTTGACAGAATTTTCCCTTTCAGAAGACTATCCGTTGGAAAGTGATTTCTGTGGGCCTGTTGGTCTTTGCTATTTGTCTGCAGAAGCGACACTGAAGTCCTCGGAAGAGCACTTCCTCCATACGTCACTGTCTCCGGACGGCCATTGTGCTGGTGAGGGCTCCTGGCATTTCTCCTTCGTTGTTCCTCTCTCTTACTGTGGGTGGTGCTGTCCAGGGCTCCATACCCGCCGAGCACACCTTCAGCCCTGCCCTTGACCGGCTCTTTTTAGGGCAGGGTCTCGCTTTCCACCAAACAGGCGCCCGGGCTGTGACTGCCTACTCCTTCAGCTTCACATCACTGCTGGGTCACAGGCTCACACCTCTCTCCAGCTTCCGTCCAGAGAAATAGTCTCGAGGACTTTTCTGCTGGGGCTGGCCTGGCTTGCACACGGCCATCCTAGTTCCAGTCTCTACTGTAGCCCAGGACGTCAGACAGGCATGTCCCTCCAGCATGCTGCTGCCTCCTCCCCCTCCTCCTCCTCCCCCTCCTCCTCCTCCTCACTGCCACCCAGCTACTGCTGCTGCTTCCTTCTTTGTTTCCTTTTCCTCTTCTTCCTCCTTCTCTTCTTTTTTGAGATAGGATATTACTATGTGGCCAGCCCTGGTCTTGAACTCAAGATTCTTCTGCTTCAGCCTCCTCTGGAGAGCTAAGATTATAGGCATGAACCACTTCCTGGCTCCTTGGTAATATTCTTTTTTTTTTTTGGCGGTGGTGGGGCTTGAACTCTGGGCCTGGGTGCTGTCCTTCAGCTCTTCAGCTCAATTCGAGCTCTCTACCACTTGAGCCACAGCGCCACTCCCGGTTTTCTGGTGGTTAATTGGAGATAAGTCTTATGGACTTTCTTGCCTGGGCTGGCTTTGAACTGTGATCCTCAGATTTCAGTGAGCCACCAGAGCCCAGCTTCTTTTGTAATATTCTTATTCTCTCTGATTACCTCTAGTACTTGCTTTTGGGTTTGGGTATTATGTAGTTTTATTTATGTCTAAGATGGATTTTTTGTTATCCTGTTTGCAATTTGTTGGGATACTTGAGTGTACTTGCTTCCGTTAGTAATTGTAGAAAATTCTCCGGGTTATTTCTCAAGCGTCTCTCAGGGC